ACGCACGTAGAGCTTCCCATGCTCCTGTCTAAAACCTCTGTTGACAAATTCAAGGAAATGGTAAACGTCCATGAATGCTCGGAAACCCGTCCATGCTCTCCATTTGAATGTACATACAGACCCTCTCACGTTCTGAGTAGTTTTTGCCATTGATTCAACGAGTTTTGCATCTGTTTGATCTAACACAGAAGAAACCCGACATCAAATCTTACGGCAAAAACTGCCCTCAAAGTGGTGTATGTAAAATTGTTTGTTTACATGCTTACCACTGGAATCAGTCGGATAAGCCGCTGTGGGTGACGACTAGCTCGCGTGTGTTCGTCTTTTCGAACTAATCGGACGAGTTTCTCCTCATTGTTGTTGACCTAAACATGAGGTGAAGTAGTCAATGAGAGAAAAAAAGTTGTTTGCAAAAAGTTTGTCTTGAGCGGAAAGGGTTCCGGACCTGAACGAATCTGCGTTTGGTGTAGAGCTGTTCAGGTCGCGAACTAGTACCCAAGGGCATGCGACGGAAGCAAAAGTGTCGCTTGAAGGCGATATTTTGCTTGGAACGCCCACACAAACTTGGCATTTCTGTCATGTCACGGGCTGAATCAGCAGCTCCGTCGCTGGTAACTGTACGACGAGATGGCTAAGATGATTTCTGACTAATCTAAGACTCTCGTTTTCAGTCCCCGTGCTGAACGGCATCGAACCTCCCCTCCTGGAAACGTTAGACCTTTAGGTCTACCTGGAAACCCTGGGATTGCCTAGATGTTTATTTTATATTATAAAAGTTATATAATGAAAGCATGCAGAATATCGGTGTTGATCCGTCTTGTCTGTGGACGCGCCCCTTATTCGACTTTCATTTGAAATCGTGGTAGCGTTTGAATGCGACTCTGACCTACACAGGGATTTTCGTCCCCAGTTGTTATAAAGCCAGTTATTTTAATCTCCTAAGCAAGTTTCATGACATTTAGGCCAACCTGCACTGATTAAAGACTTGGTCATTTTAAATAGGTACCAGTCGGATATTGATCCCGGGACTATGCGTGTGACTATGCGCCGTATGGCACTACACCACCTTCCTCAGTTTACATTGTATAAGGAAGTATGTGAGCCAGCCATACTACCGCTCGGCAGGAAGTCATACCATACTACGTCATCATAAACCATGAAACCATGAAAGCATGAAACTTGTTTGAACGGGAGAGAACCTCTGGGCTATTTAGTTAGCTGAGGTGTCCTCTTAGACAAGAGAGAGGTTGGCTTCTGTATGAAAAACTTTCGAGAAAAGCAAATTCACTGGAACACCCATTCACTATCGATAGGTTTTTAAATGAAATTTCCTATTATATGTGGGTGCAGATGTGGTGTAGTGGCAAGGGGCGCACTATCACACACTCATGGTCACAGGTTCGAATCCTGGATCGCTAATCCGTCTAGACCAAGCGAGCCTTCCATCTCGTCGAGGTCCGATTGTACATCGGTATGAGGCCACAGGAAGTCGCACTATGGGCCACTTATGGGCCAGTACGTCAACTCGATACTGAATTGAAGTCGAATGCGGGGCGCATCCCTCAGAAGAGATTGATTACCACTCAAAGACTTATCATTTAGTATTTGTAGAATTTCTTTTCAACTTCCCGCACTTTTGTTAGATAGTAAATGGGTTCTAACTGCTTGCCACAAATTTATTAAAGGAGCGGTTCTTAAGGGCTGACTAATCAGCTTTTATGCCTTTAGTCGAAGAGGCAAAAGACTTCTCGCACATGCTTCAGGGATTAGGGTTGAACCAAATATGCGTTTTATTCCCTCTTGAGCTGACAAAATTTCTCTGAAAGTGTATAAATGGTAAAGTAGGTCATTTCTTGGTTCTACGTTCCTTTCTGGGTGAAAGTCAAGGGCATGGCGCGTCCCAAAAAGTGTTTGGTAAAGAAAGTGACGAGGGGTTCGCCTTTCCACTCACTGCTGAAATATATTCGCTAGTTTCAAAATGTCCAGCAAAAGAAAATGATTTATGACTACAAAAAAACAAAAAAGAAAATGAAACTTGCCAGTAATGGCCCACAGAATGACATTCGTGAAAAACAAAATGAGAACTTTGAAAAGTCAAGGGAACCAATATGTGGGTATACATTAGACCAGATAAAACTTGGGCTGGAAAGGTGCAAAAGTACCTGAGTGCTTAGCGATCGATAATTCTTTTTTAGTACATTTGATTTCCTTATTAACAAGTTTTCGGTGGTTAAAAGCGGAAGTTTGGTGACCGAATCGGGTAAGCTAAGGGCACACCCCCATCCGTTGCCCTACGGATACCCTTCACGTTGCACCCATATCACAGAGCTGTCAGCGAGTATTCATGAGCAATTCTGATGTCTGAATTCCGAAGACTGTCCAACATAAGTTGGAGGCTTAGAAAAAAAAATTATAAAAAATCTGTCTTCATCGAGATTTAGCCAGGACCCAACTAACAAATGATGTAATGATTAGATGAGTTACTTGATTGGTGTGGATAGCTATATTAGTTCAATGGTGGCAAAAATTATTAGCTTAATGACTGATTAACTATGTATTAGGTTGATGCATAATTATTGCGGATTTTTTCCAGCAAATTTTACTTAAAGAAACTATAGAAATACTAAGCAAAGACATATTCAAATAATTACTCCGGAACTTATTCACCATCTACGTCAAGCACTGCTTCCCA